GCTCAAACAGCCGAGTCAAAATAAAAATATAATATCATGGAGAAACATAGATTCGGATACATAACAACAACAATCTAGACAAACAAGCAGAAATGCTAGCTCTTGCAATGAAACACAAACTCATACATACAAGAGCGAACAAAGAACAATGGCAGTAAGGTGGAGTTGTAAGACTTACCTCTATGTACTGCTTTCTCTTTTGTGCTATGCTTGTAATCGCCGGTCAATGCTCCTTGCCTCTTCTCTGTGGCCTTGTATCGTGTCTTTTGTTGTAGGTGAAAGACCGCGAAAGGTTAATGATGATGGTGTTGGAAGTGAGGGGCGTCTAAGAGTTTTGGGGTTCGGCTGTGGTAATGAGAGTGGATTATGGTTGAAGGTGGAGGTGAGGAAGGGTCAAACGTTGTGTGGCTAGGCTTTGCGTGGGTATGTTCGACGGGAGAATCAAAACTGAATCCTGATGAAGGGATCCGCTCCCCTGTCATTTAGCCCATAAGGATCAATTGAGAATCAAGAGTCGCCTGTCAAAGTTGCCACTCTTGTCCAAACGTCATTCCCCTTTGGTGTATAATTAATAGCAGAAACCATGATGCACAGAAGGCTCTTTCTAGAAAACCGAAAGAAGTTGATTGCGTGTAGAGGTGTTTACTGTGTGTTGGAAGCATTGTCTCATGACATATCAAAAGGCTTAGTTGACTATCTCAGACCTGCTTTTTTCATTTATCTTTTTTCCTTTTTTTTCTTTTTCTTTTTTTTCTTTTGTTTTTTTTTTCTTTACAAAAAAAAACTAAATAAAATAGAGTAACATAAACTAACATAAAAGAGAATAAAATAAAAATAAATAAAAATTTATATTATTTAGTCACTTAGACGAAATTGGGTGTTGGCAATGAGAAAAACATTTTGTTAGGAATTGTGATCTATCAAAAAAGATTGAGGTATTTTGGATTTATCTCAAAAGATCAATATTAGTAAAGGGTTAGAGAGAGATAACATAAAAGAGTGTTCACTAAGTGTGATTTCCATTGTAAAGACCCGTAAACTTCAATTGAATAAGAAGAATAACTTTAAACATAAATAGGTGAAAATTATTTCAAATTAAACTATTGAAAGTCTTATGTATGCTTAGGTTTGTACCAGACTTTATATTACATTTGTAGTTGTAGTTTTGGGAAGATGTAAGAGTAATCCATGTTTTGAACATTAAAATACTACAAAGAAGGTAATGAGATTTCTTAAAGAAATAAAGAATTTCATGTTCATATAAAAGACAAACCAATAATTCGAAAGTGATAGGATATTTTTGGTTCAAACTTTGGTGGTTGCACTAATACTAAGGAATCTACATATCTAATAATTGTTATATATTAAGGTGTTTTGTGTCTTTGAGCAGTAAAAAACAAACTTTCACCATATGGAGATTGAGTTCATTTCTTATTTTGTGACTACCTCAAATGATATATGGTTGCATAATTTTATGTATGACTTAAAGTTGTAGACTCAATTTTTAGGTCATTGAAGTTATATTATGGAAATTTTGATGCATTATCTATAACTAAGAATAACAAGAGTGAAGTCAAAGTAGATATATTGACCCATGAATATTTAGTAAAAAAAATATATGGGATGTCAACACCCAGTTTTATTTGAGATGAATAAAATTTGATTTCAAAAAATAAACAATGGTTAAGTATATTTGATGGAATCCATTTTAGGAACTAAATGGAGATCCATGAAGGGAGCATCAACTTAAGCTAAGGCTAGGAGATTGGAAGAAGAAGAATTTCAAGATTATTTTTGCTTTCCCTTAAGCCTTAGAGGACATTGGACCTCTCATAAAGAGACATTTTGGAGAATCTCTTCTTAAAGAGAAAATTTTAAAAAAAAATAGAAAAGGAAAAAAAAACAAAGAGAAAAAAGAAAAGAATAAAGTTAGGCCTGGTGGGTCAACTCTCTCTAAAATATAAATATATATATTTGCTATTTACAACTTCCATTTTTACCATTTTGAAACTCATCCTTTAGTTTTTCATTTGTTTCCCTCGTTTAACTAAACTCAATTGGTTTTCACTGTCTACACTGTGCAATTTCATTTTTACGACCCTTTGGACCAAGCCCAACGCTTTTTAATGCTCAAACTCCCTATATTTCATTTTCAAATTCCTTTTCTACATTAAGCTTGCAGAAGAACCCATGGCACATCCCATCACTAATACATTTAAAACTCTTTCCACTCCTTCTTACTAACTCTCATACATGCAAGACAAAAGGAGAAGCAATTAACTAAGGCTTAATACTATTATTGGTCCCAATTTTTGTGAGCTTTGTTTGAAATAATCCTAATGTTTTTAAAATGTTCAATGTAGTCCTAAAGATCGTAATTTGTGTTTAATTTAGTCCTTTTTGCAAACGCCGTTTAAATCGTTAACGACCAAATTTCCAGTTGTGCAATCAATGACATATCACCCTTGACACGTCATCATCATCTCCTACCTCCAGAAACCCTAATTTTCCCCTACACAGAAACCCTACCCATCACCTAACCCTAACTGTCGCTGCCACGCTCACGGCCAGCCACCATCTTCGCACCTCTATCATCTTCTCCGTCCAGCAACCACCCATGGACACCTACCAGCACCTTCATTGGTGCCACCCGTGCATCCAACAACAACCACTACGAAACCCATTATCGCGAATCAAATGAACCAAAAACAAAAAAACAAATTCATGAAAAAAGATCAAGAAAGGACCACCCCTAATCGTGATCACCAGAACCAACATCCTTCCAAAGAACAAATCAGATACTTACTCCAAAAGAAAATTCCAAGTTTAGAAACCCTAACATTCCCAATCTGAACCCTCATCCCCCACTTCGCAAAACTCAGACCTGTAAGGAAGAAAAGAATCCCTAACCACTCGTAAAACAGATAAGAACCAAGAATTTTCCAAATCAATTTTAAAATGAAAACCATATATTCCAATTTACAAAAACCATATAACACAACAAAAACCCCAAAATGGAAACACTCAATCGCGAGTCCTATTGTCGCTAAACCGCCTGAGAGAGGTGGGCTTCTTGCATTGTGATGACGTCGGAGATTGAACCTTCGCGGAGGCACCGCCGCTGCAACCCTCACCGCGCCGCGAGAAAGGAGTTCGCTCTCGTTTTTGTGAAACTCCAATAGACCCACAATGGTCAATTGGACCATCGCGAGCTTCATCTTCGAGTAGCAACATCATGAAACCCATTCAGTTTTCCTTTGGCGGCGCATGCGTAAGGAAACCTTTCCCCCTTCATTCAGAAACCCCAATTTTTTGGATGGGGAAGGGGCTGCCACGTGGCAGTCCCTCATTGGCTGTGTCATGTTTCAGTCAAGGCAGGTCAACAGTTAAATGACATGTCATTCACTTATTGCACAGCTGGACATTGACCGTTAGCGATTTAAACGGCGTTTGCAAAAAGGACTAAATTGAACACAAATTACGATATTTAGGACTACATTGAACATTTTAAAAAAATTAAGACCATTTCGAACAAAGCTCACAAAAATTGTGACCAAGAGTGATATTAAACCATTAACTAATTACGACTCACAGCTCCATCAGCCAATTCATGCAATTTAAAAAATGTATTTAAAATTTATTCCTACAATTTCCTTTTATTAAATTTTCTTTTATTTTTGAATTTTAATTTTTTTATCAATAACAATTTTAATATTATTTTAATATAATTTTCATTATTTAAATTTAAATTTATATCAAATTTCTACATAAGGACAAATTGATAATCATTTACTTTTTCAATCTATTACATCCATCACATCATTCACAAATTCTCCAAAAAATATTTCTTCAAATCCCTTCATCTATCTCTTCGAATTACTTAATTCAAACAACACAGAGTGTCTTTTCTATTTCTTCAAATTTATCTGCACAGTCTCTTTCACATCCATCTCTCAATCCAATCCGAAACAAAACTTATTTAATTTTGAAATAAGTAATTTTTTAGAAATTATTTATTTAAATAAAAATTTATTTTAAATTTAACCAGATGAGTCATTATTGAATTCCGCAAGTTTCAATGGACGTGGTATAGTACAAGAAAAAGAAAAAAAATGAAAACAAGCCATTAAAGAAAAAAAAAATCACGAAAACACCGTATCATTCATATAATTTGTTTATAAATAGGTTTTTAATATAAAATAATCTAACATGCTTACCTTTGATTTTAAATATAAATAAAATTTGTTCATGAACCAGAGCATAGTAATCTATAACGAACTCAACAATTTTAATACTATTATTTAAAAAATATGTTTATAATCAAACTAGTCCTTTTTTTAAATTAAAATAGTATAATTCTGACACACTAAGTATTTGCTATGAATTTTAACACTAATATCAAGGAAATAACGAAAATAGGATAAGTGATGGAAAGTTAAAACAATTTGCACACACAGAAACACGAAAAAAAAAAAACTCATGACATCACTTTCATTACAATAACCATCATACTATTTTTTAAGTTATATATTTTTAATCTTCAATAATTTCATCAAACTCATTTCTTTAATATATATTTTTTTCAGAAACAGAACAGGCTGAACTTTGTTACATGTTATGTGTATCTGGTTTTACTGTATTCCATGTTCATTCCACACAGAAACTTGAAAAACGTAGATTTATACATAAAAGTACGTAATAAGCTTGAAAACGACGAAAATATTCATCAGCTTCGAACTTTCATGACAATGATATTATAAAATATAAATTTCTTAAGTTATATGTCCTTTTATAAGATATTAAAGAAAACACGCTATTATAAAATACAATCTCTAATGCATGTCTTTACATAACATACAAAAGACAAAGATGAAAAGATCATTAAACAATAGAATTAGAAACTGAAATAAACCAAATATTTAAGCTGTAATGAAGATATAAAAACTAATAGAATTTCTCTAAAAGATAAATAATAATTACTAAAAGTTAAATAAGCCATAAAAAAAAATAATTACTAGTCAAACAAATTTTATTGCCACCACAATAATTTAGACTCAAAATGAAACAGCCACCCAAGACAGTGTCACCACAAACTGATCTGTCACTAGAAAATGCGTTTATTTTGAATTAGTTTGTAGTTTGGGTTCGACCGTTGCACCAAAATTTTTGTCTTCACATCACGCTCCTCCGATTTTCCATCCAAGTCCCACGCCAGATACTGCTTTTGCCAAATCAGAATTATCGCTAATCATCAATTTAAATAATGAATTCGTCAATTAAGCACTAGTTATTGCATTAGTGAAGCTCTAATTTTTCTCATAATCTTCGTGCTTTTCAATTTAAACCTTCCATAGATTATGGCAGCGGGATCATTGACTGAACTGTAGCATTTTGAATTTGAGTGTGTTTGTATGAATTATTACTATTATTTTTGGTCGAGGCAAAGGGTTGATTGTGAAATGTTGAGTAGACGTGTCGTAAGATGATAGGTGGAGGGTTTCAGATGAGACAAATCAAGAATTTCAAAACCGAAAACAACAGTATATATAAAATGGTTCTATTCTAATCTCTTGCTCTTCGTGAACTCTAATTCCATCGCAGGCGGTGGTGGCAAGCATTGCATTAATTCATGTGAGATTTTCTCTTTCCATGTAAATCCTCTTTTTTCTTTACTTGTGTTTAATTTTGTCTTGATTTGTTTGTTTTTGTATTTGTATGTATGTTTTTGTCTCTGAACTTTCGAATTTCGAGTGTTTTCTGCTAAAGGAAGTGGCATTGTTCGGGGAAGTTTATGTTTGTTTGTATGCGGTGCCTTGTGAAAGACGAAGTGGCAGTGTTAGTGTGTCTCAGTCGGCGCATTTGTCATTCCATCGAACTTGATATGTTTGTTTTTTCATTTCTATATTGTCTGACTTTATTTTTTATGCACTGTGAATCGATTAATTATGGTTATTATTTGGAACGAAACGGTTTCCTTTACAGTAGTTTTTTCCCCCGTATTTTCTATTGCAACTTCTTTTTCTGACCAAGACATACTAATTTAGTGATTGAGACGTCATAATTGTTTATGTTATTATTATGTATGATATTTGCGATTTTTGTTTGGAGAAATCAAGGTTTTCTTTTTGTTTTTTATTATGTGTTTTGCCATAATAGGCTCTTGGTGTTCGTGATAACATAGACAACTGAGGAGGAGGGCTAAAATGATGAAGAATCAACCGTCACAGTGGTGGTGGCTTGAGAGCCACAGTAACACAAGACGATCCCCTTGGCTTCAATCCACTCTCACAGGTACTGTTTCCTTCCTCTTATATTATTGCCTTTTACAACTTCTATACATTCTGTTTCAGATTTGTTAAATAGTTTAAAATTTTTTAGTCTGAAAATTTGACAAACATGTTACTACTTGATTAGTTCAACAGTGAGTTAAAAAACAAATGATTTCAAGATTTTACTGAAATCCTGATTTCTACAGTTAGATGTTTAGTGAAAATTAGATGCACGCAAAGTCCATTAGTGCAGCGATGGATTGACTTTAGCAGTAATGTTTTTCATGGCTTATCATCATCATGCAATGATGGTGTGTAATTTGTTACCCACCTGCCCTCTAATATTATGGGCATAAAATATTTGAATAAACCAAGGTCCCCATATCATTCTCTGGTCTTTTGTTATTACTTTTGCGATACAAGTATTTAGACCTATATTACATGTCTCTCTCTACTTTCTCCACTTAAAAAGAATTACTTAAAAAGAATTACTTAAAAGAAACAGGCCCTTTTCGAAAGAAGATACAAGGTTTTTAAAGAAAGTACTAGTTTAGAAAAATGAAAAACCTTTGTTTTCTTATATTTCATGAGCTTTACTTTTTAAAACCTTTTTCTCTCACTCCCTTTTGACTTTGTCCCTATGCATTTGTTAGTTCTAGCAATCAGTGTTTAGTTGGATTATATTTTTCTTTTTGGTAGTGGAAGCTTAGTGGATTATTATTAGGCCGTGCGTATGATGTCCTGGCCTTTTTGTTAGTTTAATAATGTAACGTGATTTTACTGTACTTTTTATGGCAGAGCTAAATGAGAAGACAAAGGCAATGTTAAAACTAATTGAAGAAGATGCAGATTCCTTTGCCCAACGTGCTGAGATGTATTACAAGAAGAGACCACAACTTGTGAGCATGGTTGAAGACTTCTATAGGACACATCGATCATTAGCTGAGCGGTATGATCAAATCGCTGGAATTCGTCAGCAGAAGACTGGAGGGTCCCCCTTTTCTCCACTCAAGCATCATCAACCAGAGAAGTTGATAAGTTTTGCGAATGACTGTTATGATAGCTATTCTGAGAGTTGTGATGTAGAGGAGTCTGGGGAATCTGAAATTGATGATCCTGAGCAAGAAGAGGATGAGGATTCCATATTCAATAACTGTGCAGAACTGGAGGAAGTTCAGTTTGAGAGACTTGGTGAAGAAAACAAGGATCATAAGGGTCAGAACAAGCAAAAATATAACATTTACGAAGCAGTGATGTTGAGGGAAGAAATAGAGCAACTCAGAAAAGAGAACAGGGTTCAGAAGGATGAACTCGACCGGAAAAGCATCACTTTTGTTGAATTAATGATGCTGAGGGAAGAAATAGAGCAACTAAGAAAAGAGAATAGAGCACAGAAGGATGAACTCAACCAGAAAGATATCATTTGTGGTGAAGCAATGATGTTGAGGGAAGAAATAGAACAACTCGGTAAAGAAAATAGAGTTCTGAAGGATGAACTAAGCCAGAAAAGTATCATTTGTGGTGAAGTAATGATGTTGAGGGAAGAAATAGAGCAATTCAGAAAAGAGAATAGAGCGCAGAAGCATGAACTCAACCAGAAAGATATCATTTGTGGTAAAACAATGATGCCGAGGGAAGAAATAGAGCAACTCTGTAAAGAGAATATAGTTCTGAAGGATGAACTAAACCAGAAAAGTATCATTTGTGGTGAAGTAATGATGTTGAAGGAAGAAATAGAGCAACTCAGGAAAGAGAATAGAGCGCAGAAGGATGAACTCCACAAGAAAGACAACATTTGCAGTGAAATAATGATGTTGAGGGAAGAAATAGGGCAATTGGGAAAAGAGAATGCAGCGCTGAAGGATGAACTCAACAAGAAATATATCATTTGTGGAGAAATAATGATGTTGAGGGAAGAAATAGAACAACTCAGGAAATATATTAGAGGGCAGAAGAATGAACTCCACCAGAAAGGTATCAAGTGTGAAGTAACGATGTCGAGGGAAGAAAAAGAGAATAGAGTGAAGAATGATGAACTAAACCCAGAAGACAGCGTTTGTGGTGAAGTAGTGATGTTAAGGGAAGAAATAAAACGACTTGAAAAAGATGAAAGAGCACTAAAAGGTACCCTTTCTGGTGAAGTAATGAAGTTAAGGCAGGAGAATAGCGCGCAGAAGGACCATCTTAAGCAAAAAGACCAAGAGAAAATAGAGGTGATAAGACACCTGAGTTTAGCTATAGATATGCTGAAGCAGGAGAACATAAGGATGAGAAGCTTCATTGCTAAGGAATCTGCCAACAAATGGAAGAATCCATTTGGGTTAAAGAATTTCATGGGATCATTATCAGAGCAGTTGTTTAATGGAATTACAAATAATCAACCTAGTCTTGTAGCTCTCTAGATAAGGTTCACAGAGTAAATAACTAAGTTTTGTAGAACAATATTAAAAGAGACCTATGTACATGTTATGGGGACCTGCTCAAGTAACCTACAGATCTTGTATACAGTTTAGTATATTCCTAACTAATCCAAGACCGAGTATCTAGTGGATTTCCTAGACACTTGTTTTTCTACATACTTTGTTAGCGACATATGCATATTCTGGTTGTCTCACTTTTTTGTTAGTTATCTATATCGTAGCCCGCCCAATGTGCCCAACTCTCCTTTTCATGCCAAAAATGTTTTCTCCTATATAATAATGCTAAGTGCCCACGATGCAGAGTCACTAAAAGGTTCTTTTTTCACAACAACAAAGTGATTTGTGGTCCTAATTCCTAGGGGGAAAAAAGCCTTTGATTCAATTAATTGTGGAGGCCAGTGGTAATATGTATAAGTAGGAGAATTCCCCCTGCGTCTCCGAGTTCTACATCCAGTATATACTATATATGCAGAAGTAAAAGAAACTAAGAAAAACTACAATAAAATATACTAAAAAATGAAAATAAATGTAACCAATACTCAGAATTAAAGAGTAAAAGAACAAACATCAAAAGTTTCCTATCACATTACATTTCACGAGTTAATTCCGAACTGATATAACGATGAAAACCATTTCCCCTCAACTGTGATTTCTACACTCAAATATCCCAGAATATCAGATAAAAACTTGAAAATGTTTACAAGTCTTAATGTTTTGAAACATTGTACAACTGTAGCACTTCAGGGTACTCGCAATGGCTTGTGGCACTTGATATACAGACTAAAAAGTAAACGCTGACAAAACATGTTTGGAGAAGATATGTAGAAACTGCAACCACTATTCACCTCACATGCCATGAAGCTGCATTATGCAAAATACGAGAATGGCAAGATGAAAAAGTGAATAAAGAGGGAGAGATACACCGTGGGAAGATGGGGCCAAAGCTGGCATAGACTCTGAGGGTGGAAAAGCCAAAACTGAGCCTGGATTATTGGTGACATCAGGGTTGGGAGGGCTGGGGCTTGAAGGAATTGTGGGGATTGAGGACTCTGAGGGAGGGAAAGCAGCACTTCCAGGGGTTGGAAACAAAGGCTCAATATCTGGTGACATAGCAGGAGAGAATTGCAGAGGGGCACCTGGTAATGTTGTTGGTGCTGCTGAAATGGTGGAAACATGCATGTTTTGTCGAAAAGCCAAAGCCAATGAAGAATTGCATGCCATTAAGGCCATCAGCATTACTAAGAATGACCAAAAGGAAGCCATAAATGATGATGATGATGATAGGAAGATATGAATTGGTTTATGATGAAGCAGCCTTAATGAATGTGTCTCCAGAGAGAGAAGTGTTTTGGAGAGTGGTGAAACTGAGGAGGTCCATCATTGAAGTAGTTAACTTTAAAAGGGTCTACAAGAAGTGGTGGTGGGGCTCCAATTTTCAGTGGCAGTAGATCATTGGAACCTTTTCCATCTTCCAGCTGCACACTGTTTGCTACAAGACAAAACTGATAAGTGAAATTACCTTGTGGAGCACATGAACATTAGGTGTCACTCGCATAAAAGTAAACACAAAAAATAAGAACAAAACATAAAGGAATTCTTACAACTTAGAACTCAGCAACCCAATTACTAGGAATTTGTGACATTTAATTTTCTCAGATACTTTTTTAGACTGAATTTTCCTTCCTTTTATGTTTGTCCCCACTTATTTTCTAGAGACACATCAGGGGTTCACCTGTGTGCTTCACCACTGAGTCCATGTGATATGTCCCAGTCTGAAAATAAAAATAAAAAATACTAAAAGAGTTTATGGAAGAAAAAAAAAAGGACTACAGAAATTCTTAGGCATGAAGTAAAGTTCTTTTGCTTGATTCTAACTTCCTGCTAAATTTTCAAAATCAAATCATGCAAGCTGGTTTATGTTCGAGTAGATGCAGATAAAGAGAGCTTTATTTACACACAACGAATCATTAGAAATGCAGAATGCTGATAATAAAAAATTAGAAATGCAGAATTTAACTAACAACTTTCAATATTAATTAATTGTTTGCTTCTTGTTATGGCAAAATACGATAAGATGTAAGTTTGTATTTTCACAGGATATTTATATTTTATATTTCAACCTGATTCAAATTGCAAGAAAATTGTTAAAGTGTAAATCAAAATCTCATGTTAAATAGAAAAAACAATAATAAATATTATAAAAGATGAAAGATTTATAAATTATAAATTTATTATCTTAAAGTTTTAAGTTAAAAGTAGTATTATAAAAATAAGACTCAATATTATATGTATATATATATATATATATATATATATATATATATATATATTATTTAATAACCCTTTGATAAAAAATAAATTTATTAGTGGTATATGAATTTAAAAGTATAAAATTATTTTCATAAAGAAAATCATGACTTTTTTTTTCATAACAAGCCTGTTTTTAGCTATAAGACTTTTAATTATAAAACTTAAATGAAATTAATTAAGTGTAAATAGAAGCACTAAATGCGTTTAAGATAAGACAAAATTTTCATTGCAAGACATTAAAAAAAAAACTTAAAGGTAGTTCTTCAATTAAGACTCAATAGAATAAAAATGCAAGACATGTGTCTTTATTAAATAAATACTTTAAGATCCAAGACTAAAATAACAATTAGATGCAATTTATAGATAAGTGTAAAAAAGACTTGTTTTTCATATTTAGTAATATTCTTTGTAATTATTTATGAATTATTCTTTTTCTCGTTGAAAAATGTAATAGTTAGTAAAAAGTATGTATATTGTACAGAAACTTGATACATCATGGAAGATTTGTCATCAATTTCTCACTAAGCCACCTATGACTTGCTTAGTTAAAAGAAAGACTACTCGCTCAGCGAGTAGAGTAGCTCGCTTAACAAGTGAAATCAATTAAGAGCGAATCAATTCAATTTTCGCTCAGCACATGCATATCTGTGTGTTGAACGATTTATATGTTTATGGAGTGATTATTAGCTCGAGAAAGACAGAAAACAAAGAAGTTATGGTTTAAGAAAATACGAAAAAATTTTAGGAACTCTAGGGAGGCTACTTCGAGACATCATGACATCACTCTTCATCGATTTTCATCAAACGTGTATGTTTAAGATTACTAGTAATAGCTAGATTTCTCTTTCGTTGGAATTGGATGTAATGAACTCACTGTGATGTAATTTTCTTATTCAATATATCTTTGTGTTCATATGCTCTTCTTGATTTTACTGTCATTATACGAAAGTATGATGTAATCTAAATGTTTATGAGAACTAGAAAGCAAACTTGAACGTGGACATCAGATAGACAACCAAAATGAACGATACTAGGAATGTTGTCAATTCTTCTGGTAATTCTTGAACATCATATTTTAATGTAAATTATATGTTAAATGAGGAATTAATGATTTAACATATATATTTAGAACTTGATTTAAGGAGTTAAACCGAGTATACATTAATGTGAATGTTTGAACACATGATATGTTTTCTAGAATTTTACTCTAACGTAATTCATGAAACCCAATTCAAACGAAGCTTTTCATAAATTTTCAATAATAATCTTTAAATCTTGTTATTTTAATTCAAAATCATCAATATGAATTCAATTGTTATCATTTCTAAATTGATTTTGTTAAATAATTCCGATTAGACAAACAAACCACAAGTCCCTTGGAAGAACGATACTTGAACCTTACACCTATTACTTGAAACGATTTGCTTCACTTTACAAAAACTTATCATCTATGCAAAGTCTCAATGAAGACACAAGAGACACCTAATTAGAAGAATCATAAGACACAACAAGCTTTAAACTATTTACACATCTTACATATATTCAATCCAATTCGCATTATAAATTATAAATTATCTAAGACTTATAAAACACTTAATTAAAACTAATCCTAAAGATGATTTTGACATAACATAAACTATTTGAAAATGTATATTTCATCAAAATAATAGAAAAAAACTTTTAGAATAGAAAACATATACTTACCAGATTGATATTGAGTGTGGTATTAAAACATGTCGACTAAAAGTCAAACACATTCTTACATAGTGTTGACACGAGGATAAATCTACAAAATAAAAGTTTTAACAATTTAATATAAGACACTTATAAAAGGAAACTTTTGCATGCATAATAAGCTAATGAGATATAGATGCTATAAGATAAATTCTTGAATGTAAAAGTAGAATCAAACTCTTTGATAGACCAAACTTTAGAAATTACTCATGCTAGTAAATCTTTCACACATCAAAGTTAATAATTTCGAAATAAAAAGTACTTTTTGTAATGTTTTTGTAATGTTGTCTAAGATTGAGTTTTCTTATTATACTAAATAACTTGTTGAATTTATATACTTAGAAACATGATGTATTAGATGTTAAAAGAGATTAACATATAACTAGCCTAAAGAAACTTTATTTATTCTTCTAAGTTATGATAAGAAAACAATATTTGTGATCTTGAGATTAATAAAACCATTTAGTAATTACTAATGATAACTTATTGTAAGTCATGTTTCGATAAATTAATATAAAACTAAGTGTTCACTATCCTTTACATTATTTAAGTAATTCCTTTATATGATTATCTTAAAAAAATGTGTAAACTTATTTTTAATAACATCAAAACCAAACCCTTCAACGACTAATTGAATTAGTTAGTAAAAAATTTCAAAAATATTTTTGAGTTCTATAATATTTTATTTCACTTCTTACCCTTACTCTTGTAACTCTTGTAAATATTATTTTAGATGTTAATGTGGTAAAAGACTATGCTTAGTATTAATGTAACATTGACACTATTTATTCACTTTTTTACATTATATATAGTTGTTGTATGGTTGGAAAAAAAAATAATTTGAATGCGTGAATTATTATTTATTGGAAATAGTAATTATACACAACAATAACTTAACTACAAGAATTTGATCAACTTGTTTTCAGAATATTAATTGCTAATTGACTTAATTTAAAAAAAAGTTGAATTATATAAGAAAACACTTCACATCAACCATTATTCAAGAATTTGATCACCACTATTTTGAAGTCTTTTTTTCTCAATTAAATATTTTTATTTATTTTATTCATTTATAAAATTCTAAAATTTTAGTTTAAAATATGAACTAGTTT